ATGGAATCAAGTACGAGAAAAAGAAGAACAACTCGAAGGAGTTGGTGTTGCAGGGTTACTGTGACAGTGATTGGGCTAATGACCCCGATCAAAGAAAGAGCACTACTGGTTTCGTGTTTACGCTGGCAGGCGGAGCTGTAGCATGGATGTCACGAAGACAATCCGTCATCGCGTTGTCGACCGCGGAGGCGGAGTACATTGCAGCGTGTGAAGCCACAATGAAGGCAGTTGCTGGGAAAAATGTTTTGCAAGAGATTTTACCGCAGCACGATGTGAAATTGCGTGTAGGAATTGACAGTCAAGTTGCTCACGTGATGGCAACTAATCCTACCTACAGCAGACGTACGCGCCACATTGAATTACGGTGGCATTACGTTCGAGAGCAAGTGCAAAAAGGCACTGTGGAGTTGCATAAGCTGAGGGGGGAAACAAACCCTGCCGACACGTTCACCAAGCCTCTGGACAAGAAGCGACTGAAAGGATTGTTGCTGATTGCAGGCATTGGAGCAGAAAAGTAGTCGAAGACCAGTATTCGACATCGAAGACCGATCTTCGAGAAGGGCGTGTTGGATTGTGCATCGAGGCCTGGCGCAGATTGAAGAAAGCTGGAACAGCAAAGAAACCAGATCGTTATATGAGAGAGGGCAAAGGCCCGTGAGTGTTGGTCAATGCTCAGGAAGCAGAGCAACTGACACAAAGTAATTCAGTCTTCATATTTTCCCTTTGCACCAAGGAGCTTGTTTGTTACTTCGCGGAGCGTGTCTAAGAGCTACAACTCACAAAACACTCTATTGACAGCAAACGATCCCATGGTATTTCTTAAAATTAAATCGTTTCGGCTTAATTTTTTCATGTTTCTCTGGTAGTGCTACGTACAGCTTAACCCCCCAAAGGTGACGTTTTTTTTCTTACTAAAAGTATTTTCTGCTCACCATACTGTACTGTACTTTTTTCGCGCATAATGTATTTTATGGGTTTGGACTTCCCCTTCCATAATTGATTTCTCTTCGAGACCCATTACAATTATATATTGTGAGTGTGACAAATAATTGCTAATAAACTACTGATAGATCATATATTCTAAGCAAGAGATACAGATCCCATTACTTAGTATGTATTCTGCTGCTACAGTAGCTAAATAGCCAAACTGTATTTCTGACTCATTGCCTGACGAGGCCATTATTTATTTACGAGTCTTAGCTCCCTCCGTAAAAATAGTATTTTAGGAAACCCTGCGTGGATGATACAGTTGTGGATGTTAGGAGCAACTGGAACGCGCCGACAAAGTCTGATGTTAGGGATGCAGACGCTGATAGTGGTTCGAATGTCGAGGAGAACGACGAAGACGAGACGCTGACTGATAAGAAGACCACATTCGCCTTCAACTTCGGCGCTTGAAAGCTAGAGAATTGTATCTAAGCTTACGCATACAAGCCAATATAGAATCACTCTGCTTGATGTGTTTCAAAAACACATCAAGCAGAGTGATTCTAATTTCGTCTATCCGACGTGTACCGTGCTCTAGAGGAGAATCAAGCTACTCATGTAACCTTTTTTATCTTTTACTTAAAAATGCTTAAGACATATGTCAAAAATTGTTGAAATTGGACTAGAAATTCCGCGGCGATCAGAGCTCGCCAGTGTCAAAAATCTTCTGCGCGCATATCTTGGCTGCCCTGGTTGTTGTCAGCTGCAATATCTCCTTTCGCATACTGCGAGTACAGTATCCAAACTCGATATTTTGGAGGTAGTGCAACACATTTTCTTCCATTGCAAGCGCCAAAATCTTGTGCTTTAGTGTTCTTGGTACATTTTTGCTCTGGAATATAATATCCACTATCACCTGTGCACCCTCCACACGACCGCGAAATGCTGCTTTCCGGAACGCTCTTAGCATCGCGTCAGGCTTCGTCCACTGTTTGCCATACAAATATCTCAGCAAATATACACTCTTTGGGCTGTTGGTCCCCGCGAACGCATCACATATCGCATCAAAGGAAACGCGGGGATCATTACACAGCAGCTCCGCAATTTCACTTTGATCGTGAAATACTGCGGTCACCAACGCTTTATCGATAACTTCAGGTGAGATGCACTGCTCCTTGTACAGCAGCTTCACGATCTGAGCTCGATCCTCATTATAAATGTTGAGGTTGGTTCTTCCCCAGCCAGATGCATCCTTGAACGCATATACAATTTCTTCCTCCGATATCCGATAGGTTTCGTACAGAATCTTGACCATTGTAAAGGTGCGTGAAAGCGCAAATGCTACCTCAAGTGCGTGACTGGAAGCACAGTCCTTACTGCAGAGAAATGCCATGGTATCTACTCCATTCCGCGGAAACCTAGCTGCGTTGTTCATCGCCTTGTCAAACGCGTTCGTGGTAACTCGTGTCGTGTCATACAGGAAATCCCGTAGCGATATGAAAATTGCATGCAGCGTAAACAAACGCATTGCTAATCAAACCGGAATCGTTTTGTCCCTTGTTGTAGTACAAGTATTTCACTGCTTCCGTACCCGCTTCACGACTCGCTACTCCATACAATAAATCCATTTTATCTTCGTGGCAGTACGCATCGAAAATCCTGTCCGCAAGTGCATGTTGCTTCTGTGTCACCGCCGCGATAAAGGCCTCCACTAAGTCCCATAGAGAGCTATTAAGGCTAAAAAGATATTCCACCACGTCTTCGTGCCCTCCGGAAATTGCACGCGCCAATATTTTACTTGTCTTGAGGCCTCTAATGTAATGTTTATCCTTGGCATGTTGCACAAGGTAGCGCACCACTGCGAGATGTCCGTTCGCTGATGCAACATCCAGTGCTGCACATGCAGTTGCTATAAGTAAGCAACCAGGGCCAGACACACCAGGAGTAAATATCACCGACATCAACCGCTTCAAGACGCGGAGATGTCCATTAGCAGCAGCAGCTTCGGTCGCCTTGTCAAAGGTCTGAATATTTCCAGAAGAATAAACATATTTGCTCTGCAACGTCTTGACACAACTTAAGTGGCCATGGGTAGCAGCGACCACAAGCGCATTCGCCACATCACACTCATATCGTGCCAGTAGCTGGTCCAGCCACACTACTTGACCCGACTTTGCTGCCTCCACAATTGCGTCGACCGGCGTCAAAAGAAACCTTTTAATTGCTTTAACAACATGAGGTAGCCCCAGTAATTCGGCAGGAACAAGTGCATTGCAACACGAAGCTAGCGGGCTGCTACCGTTTGGTCGTGGTAGCTCTGATCGAGTACGCTTGCTGCCCTCGGGGCCTGGGCTATCCGATCGCTCACGCTTTGTCGCGCCAGGCATTGTATTGATCTTATGGAAAAATTAGGTTTAAAACCAACCTGCACAGGAATGTCCTGCACTGTCAGTGTCCGTCCATCCCTCATTCTCCAGATTTTACCAGATCACTCTATTGACGGCAAACGATCCCATGAAATTTTTTAAAATTAAATCGTTTCGGCTTAATTTTTTCCATGTTTCTCTGGTAGTGAGTGCTACGTACAGCTTAACCCCACGTTTTTTTTCTTACTAAAAGTATATTCTGCTCACCATACTGTACTTTTCTTATGCGCATAATGTATTTTATGGTTTTGGACTTCCCCTTCCATAATTGATTTCTCTTCGAGACCCATTACAATTATATATTGTGAGTGTGACAATTAAAAAAAAGTTGTCAATAAACTACTGATACCTCTGTCCGAAAATATAAGCGGGGCATCTATTTAAACCGTGTCCGAAAATAAAAGCGGCATGCTTACAAATTCAAGTCATTTGATAGTACTGTCGTATTCCACTTAAGTACTCCCATACAAATGCTGTTGTTGTTGCCGGACGCTGCAAACCAGACCGTAGAAATATTTAGGCACTCTACACGGCACCGCTCAACAGAGAATCTCACGCGCTACATCTCTACAGGTTTCTATGACATTTAGTGTAAAATTGACATCCTGGCGAAAGATTTTCAAATTTCACATCTTCACCACGAACTTTGCATAACGATAACTTTGCGACCAGGTGGCCGATTTGCTTCAAACGTCGACCAAAACAATTGCCGTAATCTAAACAGCAATTAAGACCAATCAGCTGCTCGTTTAAAGGGTTTCTGTTCTTAAAATTAATTTTGCCCGCCCATCCTGCTTTTTTTTCGGACGGAGGTACATTTTAACGAAGCGATACAGATCCCATCACTTACATGTAGTATGTATTTTGCTAGCTAAATAGCCTAACTGTATTTCTGACTCATTGCCTGACGATGCCATTATTTATTTACGAGTCTTAGTATAAATAGCATTTTAGCGTGGATGATCCAGTTGTGGATGTTAGGAGCAACTGGAACGCGCCGACAAAGTCGGATATAGACGATGAAGGTGGTTCAAATGTCGAAGACTGCGACGAAGACGACTCGGACGACAGGACGTAATACTACGTTCGCATTCAACTTCGGCTCTTAAGAGCTAGGAAATTGTATTCCATGGAAGCCAACTTAGAATCACTTAGTGAAAAGAGCCAACAGTCTGCTTTGCTCCGCTACTCGGTATTGGTGGCTTCGACTCAACCAAAGGAAAGGCTTTAGAAGAGAATCTGAAGAGCGCAGCCGCGGGCATAGGCTTTTTGCGATTACCTTGACTTTAAGCACCGCTCCGGACTATCTCTAAAAACGGATGCTTTTGCTGTGTTTTCAAATCTCAAGATTGAATCCCTAGTGTTTTGAAGAGTTTAATTCGACATCACAGACATGATTTCGTCCCAAAATGTCGACCGAGTTATACTACTAGTAGTAGGTAATAAACCTTCAGTCCGCGGTACCTTTTGATAACCTTGTTGTATTGAGAATTGTGTGTGCAGGTACCACACGAGACGTTTATCTGGTTTACATTAAATGTTATTCCGTAGCCAACACCGCGACGGTCACACGCCTGCGGGCAAAAGAGCAGCGTAATCGTCTGAAAGTGTTACAACTTAACTGTCTCGCAACCGAAAATATTCCAACTAACGTTTCGAGCTGCCTTTACCGCGTTGGCCCACCGACGATTGTCGTTTACCACCGCGTTTCGCCAGTCTCGCGGCATATGCAACTTTTGCGTCTGCACGTCGTTGAGCTTCATCTGCGCGTTGTTGGGCTTCATATGCGCGACGTTTGAGTTCATTTTCAAGTCGAAGTTCCTCACTCACAACCCAGTGCATCCACTCGTCTTCGAACTTCATGAACATCTGCTCTTCAACTTCTCGCTGTACTTCGAGTCGTTTTCTCTCCGCGTCACGAGCGATTTCTCGCTCGATATGGCGCTGTCGATTCTCCTCCATCTCCATCTGGAGATTAGCTCGAATCTCGCGTTTAAAATCTCGTGCTCGGGCCAAGAAAACTTGACTGCGTTTGCTGATCTCTTCAAATGGAGCTCGCGCTTGCTTCCGCTTCTCTATCAGCAGCTCCGTGTGAGCTTCACAGTCAAGTTTAAATCGTTCGGCTGCTGGTGTTCGCTTAGGTTTATGCTTCCCGGCTTTCTTCTTGGCTGTAGCTGCTGTGAGTGCTTCAGCGTGGATGTCAAAGACTTCTGGTCGTCGAGCAAGACCCGATCGAGTCTCGACGTCAAAGGCACGTAGAAGAGCAGCGTCGTCGACTTTGCAACCCGCTTGTTCGGCTTCCCATGCTTGGACGTATTCCTGTTTAAGCTTGACAATACTTGCGCTATCATGCTGGACTGGATGGTGTGAAAGGACGTGGTGTAAGTCTGCGATGGCGGATGGTAGCTGTCCAAGACTGCGATATGCTTCAGCACGACGCAAGAAGAGCTGGATACTGGCTTCAGGGATGGTAGATATGGGCTCCAATTCATCAATTATTTCCTGCTGGTTGTCCGTGATGTTGGGGTCTGGGAGTGATGCGTGGACTTGTTTTAGCGCTTTAGTGAAGTTGTCAATGGCATCAGGATACTGATGCAACGCCATGTGAACGAGGCCTTTGAGGTGAAATGCCGTCGTGAGTTCACGGCACTTAGATTTAATTGCCTCGTGCAGGTCTGTCAGCGCCCCATTCGCGAATAATTCATGATCTTGACGTGCTTGTGTACGTCTGTATACAGTCTCAGTATACGCTTTTCTAACCGAGTCTTCGTCGTTATTATTCGGAGATTCCGGCTGTCCCTCGTGAGTTTTCTTGTAATTCCCTTTACCCCGAAGTTGGTGAGTATGCATCAACTCCACTCCATGTATTTCCTTCTCGTAGTTGCTTATCATAACGGAAGTGTCTTCGATCACCTGTTTTGCTTTTTTCAGCTAGAGGAGAGAGTAGAAATGTGTTAGCTTACGTTGTGATGGACAAAACTTAAAGAAGAATGTACCAGCATATAGCGACAAAGTCCGCGTTTGAAATGCAGCTGAGGGCTCTGACGCTTCTTTTCGACGTAAGGAAGTGTCTCCACTTCGTTTATCAACTTGGTCAATAGTTCTTCTGCTCGGTTGAACTCTTGAGTATCAACGTATTTGAACGCAAGAGCGAGTCCATCTCGACGGTTCTGTTGCCGTTGGTGCTGCTGAGTCGTGAATATGTTGTTGGAAAAATCACAGTAGCAGTTCAGTGCTGGTGGCGGTGTAGCCATCAAGTTGTCACTAGCATACAGAGACTGCAGCTGTGTCATCTCCATCAGAGACGTCGGCATGGAGCGAAGGCGATTGAATGATACATTCAACTTGGTCAGCTGCACGAGATTTCCCAAGCGTAGAGGCAGTTGTCCGAGTTGGTTATGATCGCATTTAAGCTGTCGTAGTCGAGGGAGTTGTGTGAGCTCATCTGGAAGTGCTTGAAGTGTATTTGAGCTCAGATTTAAGACTTCTAGTCTTCGTAGATGACCGATTTCAGTTGGTAGGACTCGTAGTGAATTGCTTGAGAGGTCGAAATACTGCAAGTGACTGCAGTATAGTAACACTGCTAACGGAACTTGAGTGAGGTGGCTGTCCGATAAATCGAGCTCTTGGAGTGTGTCTTGCATGGCAGCATGACCGATGAGTAACGGGAATTCCTGCAGTGCGTTGTGATTGAGTCGAAGTTTTTCTACTGGCGAGTCCTTAAGGAAATCCAACGACGCGAAGGTGACGATGCCACACGATGACGCAGAGAGGAACTCAACGCTCGGAAGATGTCGGAAAAAGGCTTCGAGGGTGATAAGTTTCGGGTTGTTGTCGAGATCGAGGTGACGCAGCTGACTTAGTGACCCAAATTCATTCGGTAGAAGTCTCAACTGGTTCGAAACGAGCGTCAGAGTCTTGAGATTGCGCAACATTCCGATGCTTTCGGGTAAAGTTACCAGACTGTTGTGAGCCAGATCTAGCTCTTGTAACATTTCTAGATTGCCGATTGCCTCCGGTAATTCATGTAGAGCGTTATGGTGAAGTATCATTCGATGAAGAGAAGTCAATGCGGAGATTTCGTCACTAAGTGAAGAGAGTTGGTTGTTGGATATGTCCAGTAGAGTGAGATGGCTACATTTTTCGATCGATTTGGGAACTTCGACAAGCTGATTGTTACTTAAACGCAGCACTTGTAGATGCTCCAGAAGCCCAACACCGACTTGCCATTCTCCTGTTTCTCGAAGTAGTTTCAAGTCTCCTTCCACGAACGGTAACTCTTTGAGTCGGTTGTACGAGAGATCGAGATAGCGAATCTCTCGTAGTTTCCACAATTTTGGAGAAAAAGTCTGGATTAAATTATGCGACGCACAGATTGAAGTCAACGACGTTGTGGTCTGTAGACACGACGGGAGTCTTGTGAGTTGATTAAAACTCACATCTAACTCTTCGAGGTGAATCAAGTCCTGGATTCCGGAAGGAATTCGAGTCAGACAATTGCGGGAGAGCACGAGACTCTTTAGATACTGGAGATTCCAGATACGCGACGACAGTTTCCATGCGTCTAGGCCACTCATATTCAGTATCGGAGCTTGTTCTGCGTCCTCAGCGGTATCGACGATTTGCTGAGCTTTCGAGCGAGGATACTTCCGCTGCATCTTCTTCTTGGTGGCTTCATCCAGTGCAGTCTCAACGTCATTCACAGCTATCATTGCAGCGGACTTTTCGTCTTCAGCGTCTTGTGCAGCGTCTAGTAGGAACTCTTCAAAGTCCTCATCTTCGTCGTCATCCTCCTCTTCAATTTCTCCGTTATCTGGAATCTGAAGCGGACCAAACAGCGCCGGCTTAGTCCACGACGACGTGTTGGTGTCTAGATTTGTAAATAGTATTTTTCCGGTGTCGGGGTCAATAGTACATTGATACTGTGACGCTACCAGTCGTCGAGCTCGCTTTCGATCTCTAATACCGCGGAACATAGACTGCAGTCGTACTACAGCGAAAGTTAAGTAGGAGAGGTCCATCTCGTCTTCAGGTAGCGTCCAAGAGGTTTCTCCAGTGTGGATATTGTAGTAATATACGATCTGAGAGTCTTCATCGAAACTCTCCTGCCATTCATTCTCAGAGGTCGAAGCTCCAGCTCCTGCGGTATCTTCCCCTGGTAGTGTCCATGACGTATCTCCTGTGCTGTTTAGAGACATAACAAAGACTAGTGAGATACTGAGGTTATACTCTATGGATGAAGATGGACTACTTCATACACTCGATTTAAGTAATAGGCACGGCCAGAGACCTCGTCAAAAGCTTCTTCCCACTCAGAGTTCATGTGAACAATGAAGCGTCTCTCTCGACTAGTCGCAGTGAAATTTTGACTAAGAGAAAATTTTATTTTCCGAAGACTATGTTGAAAACTTGCTCAAATGTTGCGAGAAGTGGGCTTCTAGGACATGTCCAGAGGGCGATTGAACCCTCCTCTGCGGTTCATGTACTGTCTGTACTCCCTCTTCGTCTCGCGTCGTGCCGTGCCCGTGGCTGCGCTCTTCAGATTCTCTTCTACAGCCTTCCCTTTGGTTGAGTCGAAGCCTCCAATACCGAGTAGCAACTTCATTTGCTCCTCTTCGCTTAAATGCGACATAGCATTGATCTCCTCCTGCTGTTCTTTAACCTGTGGCTTGGCCTGCTCCTTCGTGGCATCCTTCACTTTACGCGGCTTCGAGCGGGAGGTAGAGCGTCGACGACGCACTGGTGACAGGCTCTTAGATCTGCTGCGGCTGTGGTACAGACGGCGGCGACTTCGACTGCGTCCACGGCTACCACTGCGACTCCGGCGGCTTCTGTGGCGCCCGTAAGAAGGTGAGCGCGAGCGGGAATGCGAAGAGGAGACGGAACGACGTCGGCGACTGCTGTACGACGAGTCGCGACGTCGGCGACGGCCCAAGCTGTCCACGGATGCACTACGGCTGCGGCTTCGACTGCGCCGCATTTTTAGAAAAAATACGAAAAACGCAAATTAGCATTTTTCACATTTCTAATGCTTATTTCATAAACTCACATTTTAGGCGCTAAAAAATAACAAAAGCAGGTGTTGGAACACTTCCGTCAATGATATGTGACATAGCGTTCAAATTATTGTACAAAATGTCTTACCAAACGAAATATGCTCTGTATCAGCCCTGGATGAAGCGATTGCATCAACATTTACAAGAAAGGTAAATCAATGGTGCCCAGGAAACTCGATGAAGACAGACTTATAAATTTCAATCAAAACTCTTTTTTCTCTCATCCACTCAAGCTCCTCCACTTCATCACCTCCACTTCATCACCTCCACTCCAACAGGTTATAAGCCCAGCGCAAGCCTCCACCACTGACGACCGTGAGTTTCCGGGCCTCAATGGCCGGAACTTCATCGTCTGGAAGACCCGCGTCACTGCCGCTCTCGAAGGGAAGAACCTCCTCGGCTTCTATGAGCGTATCAACTACACCAGTGACTCCGATTACGAGCTCGGCTCCGATAGCCCCCTTTCCACATCGCCGTCGACTCCGGCTGTGGGTGCATTCGAACTTGCGGAGATGGCATCGGGGAGGACTCGCTCGGTGAGGAGCCCACCATTTCGTCGGCCTTGGGAGAGGCGACGTCAAGCGCGGCGGACATGTCGTTTATGTCGGAAAGTCCCCGTCCGGTAGACGTCGAGGGCTGAAGAACACCACGTTCGACGGAGTGATTGAAATTACATCAAGCGCTTCGTCGACCGTGGCCTGGGCCATGTCGTTTCATTGGCTAGCGCCGTCACTGCTGTGCCCGAAGCGCACCACGTCCATGCAGCTAGACGTGGGGCACGAGCGGTGGCGGTGCTCGCGAGCCGCGTGCAGGACGGAGCGGAGCATCCGCACCAACTCCTTTTTCTCTAAGAGCAAGCTGCCCATTGGGAAGTTGGTGCGGTTGCTCTGTCACTGGTGCGCGCGCACCCCCGTGACAGCGGCAGCCGTCATGGTGGGTGTAAAAGCCCATGCAGCAATGCAATGGTATACCTATTGTAGGGACATATGCTCCCAGGAGATGATGTCCATCCCCATGGATATTGGAGGCGAAGGCCATGTCGTCGAGATCGACGAAACTTCACTCAAGAAGAACTCCAAGTACAACCGCGGGCGGCGGTATCCGGACTTCTGGTTGTTCGGCGGCGTGGACCGGACGACGAACCGCTGGTTCGGGGTCCTCACGTATGGGTTTGTACGAAGCCGACTTTGTCAGCGGTGATCAAGAAGCACATCCCCCCTGGGTAGGTGTGTAGTTTATATATTTACTTATTTTCACTTAACTAACGTATCTAAATGATTGTAGCACTACCATCATGAGCGACCAGTTCACCTCGTACGTGTCGGTGAATGGCAAGCACACGCTGGCCAACAACCGACACCTACGAGGTATGAACTACAAACGCATGTGGGTCAACCACAGCAAGACGTACGTGGACCCTATCACAGGCGCCCACACTAACCGTGTCGAGGGCGCCTGGGAAATCTGCATTATGCAGCATGTGAAGGTTCGTATACATTTTATACCTATACGTATATACGTATACGATTATACTTACCAGCGTATTTGAGACAGGCAATGCGCGGCATGAAGAAGGAGCTGCTGTCCATGTACTTGGACGAGTACATGTGACGCAACTGGTTTGCTCCGCCGAAGGCGAATGGAACCGAAGTCCTGCACGCTCTGATCAAGGGCATCGTCAAGTACTACTACTAGACGACGGTGCTAAGGTTATAGTACAACTGTAGGCTAACCTAAATTTATTTTTGTTTTTAATCTGAATGTGGGGCCATATCTGGGGAGAGCCAGGCTTTCCTTATCAAGACCAACATTTTCTCATGGTCAAGGACAAGACTACTGCGTTTGAGATCTTCGAGACGATCTGTAGCAAGTACGAAGGTGCTTCCCTTCACGGCGACCCGTACCATGTGCTATCATACCTGGTGGCACTCAAGTACAAAGAAGGTGCAGACCTTACGGCATTTATGATTGACATCGAATCCGCCATGAAGGTTGCCTCCGAAGCCACAAACAGTGTGCTCAGTGACGAACAGAAGTCACTCTACTTGTACCATGCGCTACCTGGAAAATGAAAGCAGCAACTATCGGCCTGGAAGGGTAGCAGGAAATTCATTCCCTGCAAAGGGCTGAGGCGTCAGATCGAGGCCAAGGTACAGAATGAGCTGGCGGAAAACCGCTACACACTCAAACGAGGAGCACCCGAGTTGAGGGAAACCCGTAACGAGCAAGCTCTACATGATTTAGTACACCCAAACCAGCCTTGGTTCCAGTTCCCTGTCAAGAGAGCCAGGTACTCATCTCAACGATGAATTGTACATACTGCCTGCGCTCCAACCACGAAAATGTCAACTGCTACGTCCTACAGCGCCACCTACAAAATGGCCAGGTAAAGGCAGGAACGGTGCTCCCCGCCAACTTTAAACTGAAACTTCGTCGAATCAATCTCGACAGCATCCTTACAAGGACAGCTTTGGCAGCAAGTCACGGAATCATAAACGGAATGACTACAAGAGCAACCAGAACAGCAATCGAAACAGAAGCCAGAACGGCAACCGGAAGAATACCTGTGGGAAATCCAAGGGTCGCAATAAACTTCACGGTCGCCGCAAGGGCACCGACTCCGACAACGAGGACGGAATCATAGCCATCACCAGACTGGACCTCAGCCAAGAAACCGAGGCGGTAAGTCTCAACGCTCAATATGCGAAGCACGACCCAGTGTGGACTGTCGACTCGGGCTACACTCACCACGTTACGTCCAATCCGGAGTGGTTTGAGAAGCTGATCACAAGTGCTGGCAAGTCAATCAATGTCGGCGGCAATCACTAGATACCGATCAAAGGAACTGGTGACGTCAAGATGACATTCAAGGACACGAAGGGAAAGGAACGAGAAATCTCCCTGACCGACGAGCTATATGGGCCCCAGCTGAAGTTCAACCTACTCTCTGTGCGCCAAGCCGTCGAATATGATTTCAAAATCAACTTCATTAACGCCAAGAAGTGCGTTCTATTCTTCGCTAGACGAACCAAATTTGAAGCCAAAAATGGTGAAGTGACTCGGCTCTACTTGTTTCAAGCGAACCCGGCAACCTCAAGGCAGGCAGCCCATGTGGTCACCTCACGTAAACCTGATAATGTTTTACTTTGGCATAAACGAATGGGCCATCCAAGCTTTCGCATTATGCTGGATCTGGCTTAAGCCAACACTGTCATGGACATAAGTCTGAAGGACTTTGATTCCAAGAAATACTACTTTTGCTCTTCCTGCACGTACGCCAAAGCTCATCGTAATCCATTCAATAAACGTACCGTTGAACGGTCACAGCTCCCTCCTGAATAGGTTCATTCCGATTTGACTGGTCCATTACCCGTCCCCACACTTTTGGAGTGCCAATATTTTCTGACCTTCATAGATGGCTACTCACGGTACATGTTGATCTACATCATCAAACGAAAGTTTGGGCTGTATAAACGTTATTCGTGCTGATGTGGGCGAGCTCCAGTTCAATGAGAGCATGCACGATGCAGAAACTAGACATCTTCAAAGCGACAATGCCCGAGAATATGAGAAACTTGAAGAGATCATTTTTCAGAAGTACAATAGGCACGCACAATTCACAAATGCGTAAACGCCCCAGAAAAATGGGGTATCAGAGAGGCGCATGCGCAAATTACTCGAGCGAACCAGAGCTTTACTCATTGATGATAACTACCGCAGGTCCCTTGGCGTCAAACACGTCGCTGATCTTCTGAACAATAAATGCGTCAAACACGTTGCTGATCTTCTGAACAATTCTCCAAGTTCGGTAACCGATAAGGTCACCCCATACGAGAAATAGTTCAAGCGAAAACCATCCGCGCACCACAGCAAAGTGTTTGGGTGTACTGCCTACGTTCACATTCCTGAGATGCAGCGCACAAAACTCGAACCACGTGCTAAGCAGTGCATGCATTTAGGATTCCCATCAAACAAAAAGGGATATAGACTCCTTGAAACGAAAAAAATAATCGTGTTACCTACAGCAGGGATGTTACGTTTAAAGAAGACGAGTCTCCCACAGTTGGAATTCCTCAATACACCAACAATCTCGGACGAACACGGCCCAGCACCGAATCTACCGCCGTCGCTACCAACAGCACAAGCGCCCCCTCCGATAGCCTCACTACTAAAACGCATCGTCAATGCGCTTGCCGTTGAGGTTACGGTAAAGGTGAAGAAAGTCAAACACAACACGAACGCTCAGAGCGCGGATGAACACTCGTGCCTACTTGATGGTTCACTCGACATTAATAAATGAAAAGAGCATCTCACTCATGTTTACACTCTATTGGTTATCAGACACATATCTGAACCAAACACGTTTCTGGAGTCTCAAAAACTACCAGAAGCCCGACACTGGAAGACAGTCATTTGCGAATAAAAATCATTGGTTGACAACAAAACATGGGTCCTCACAAAACTACCGACAGGGAGAAGGGCCCCAGTGCCGATGGGTATTCGCTGTGAAATCCAACGGAGACGACAGTATTGATCGCTATAAAGCTCGCCTAGTAATAAAAAGTTTTGTTTTTGCAAAAGTACGACATTGAATTTTCTCTCCGACGTGGAAATGCTGCGATTTTTACTGACGATTGCAGCACTCCTTGACCTTGTGATCCATCAAATGGATGTTAAAACAGCCTTCCTGAATGGAAAGTTCGATGAGGAAATTTACATGATGCGACCTGAAGGGTTTACTGTCCGAGGAAAAGAGCACTTAGTCTGCAAGCTATTGAAGAGCCTAAATGGTCTCAAACAGGCACCTCTGATCTGGCATCTTACCCTATGCCCTTTTCTCCTCACCATGAAATTCCACAAAGTCATAAAATACCAATGTGTTTTCATTGAAGTTGTGGATAGAGCTACATGCTGCATCTAGTTCTATGTGGACGACCTTCTCATCATTGCTCCTACGCTTGACATCATAAACAACATAAAGAACGCTCTTAAGAAGCGCTTCAAAGTGTCTGATCTCGGTGAAGCTCAATACATCTGGGGCTGGTCAGTCGTACGCAGCCGCACGGACCGCACCATTTTCATCAACCAAGTGAAATACGCTACCAAAGTCCTGGATCGCTTCTCTCATCTCGATGCACACCCGGTTGGTACACTCACTGATCCTAGTGTGGAGCTGGCCAAAGCCATGTGCCCCCAAACACCAGAAGAAAAGAATGAGATGAAAGCGATCCCGTACAGAGAGGCAGTCGTTAGCTTTATATACGTAATGATGGGAACTAGACCTGATCTCGCATACTTTCTAGGAGTGGTCAGTCAATTTCTGGTAAACCCAGGAAAACCTCACTGTAATGCCGTTAAGAGAGGTTTGAAGAACTTGAACGGTACGCGCAACCTTGGCATCACCCTTGGCGGAAAGCAAAACCTAGAGCAGTTTGAGTCAAAGCATTATCTCACTGCATATTCCGACGCAGACTACGCCAATTGTCCAGACACACGACGATCTGTTGGAGGCTATATCACATATATGTGTGGAAACCTAATTTCATGGCAAACGAGGAGGCACCACACCAAAGTTCTGTTCACAACAGAGGCCG